GCCCACTAAAAGTGGAGATTTCTAACACTGGGCCTGCTTTTTGGAGACAAAACTTGGTCCTAGGAAAAGAAAGAAATAAAAATTCCCTGCTGGGCAGTAAAAGAAGGTGTCCTCATGTGCCCTGGAGAACTTCTCTGAGGTACTTCCGTCACACATGGAAATTTATTCTGCAAAATGTTTCTGTTTTAACTAACACTGTAGAGATTATTGAAATTTAGAAGTGAAGAAAAAATATTTTCCTCTGTCACATTTTTATTTAGGAAGAAAAAGGTGTACATTGTTTTAAAACCAAAGCCGATGTCCCTGAGAAGCTTAAGGTTCTAATACACACACAAAGCAGAAAGAAACACACAAGCCATGGTGTGGAGCAGAAAGCCTCCCTGGCCCACCCACATGGTGGTGGCGCCTCGAGTTTGCTGCAGACATGCGCAGAGACAGCGTACTCGCATCCTCACCGTGAAACTGGCTTTCTCATATTAAGATAAAATGTGCATTTGATTTAATATTTCATCAGATGGAACGAAAAATCAAATTATTATAACTATTGATGTTCACTCAACAGGTAACTCCCACCTGAAAAAGTACAGTATTTTGTTAAGTCTGTGGATAGAAGTGTGATAAATGCTGGCTACATTCTCAAGAAAACGATGACATCTTTAATCCATCACATGGCTGTAGTGTTCCTCCGTGTAGCCTTAGTATGCCCAGGGAAGACACCTGACTATCTTGACCCACACGGTGAGTCCTAAACCTTGGGTTCATGATGCTTTTAGCAGGGGGGAAGAATGGGGTGGAGGCTCCATTGGGCGGAGAGGTCCTAAACAAGGCAGGAAAAGGAGACAGAGAGGACCCAGCCCCAGCTCCTGCGGAAGACTCTATGGATCGCAGTGTCAGTGACTGAAAGGGAGTCCTGGGGAACAGGGCACTGGGGACAGCAGGGTACTTTGTAGACAAATGGTGCTGGTCATTCACAGTATTAAGCCAAGAACGTGTAAGACAGGAAACCTTCACACATATAGTAGTTTCTAAATATCTTATTCTAAGTATTTTAATTGGAAATATTTTGTTAATTCTTTCAATATAGAATGCATTAAACCTTAGAGATACAAAGAGGTGAAGGCCTGGGTGACCTTCAGAATCATTTGTGGAATGCATGTCACTTCTTTAATATCAGTAGCTCACAGGGGTGCCTGACTTAAAAGAAAGGAACCATTCTAAATTGTTTATTGAGAATTGATCCATATATGAAATACCACACAATGAAATGACCAAGCTGATATTTGCAATGAAAATTCAATTCCTGACATCCTTATAAGAGTTTATTCATATCTTAATTTAAGTGAACTCTTTCTTTCTTTTTTTTTTTTTTTTTTTGGTACTGGGGATTGAACACGGGTTCTTTCCCTTGCAAGGCAGGCAGCAGAACCACTGAGCTAAATCCCTGGCCCTCTTTCCTATTTCTATAGAGAAGTTTTTCCCCTGTGCTAGGGCTGGAACCCTGGCCTCACACAGGCTAGGCAAGCTCTCTATCTCTGAGCTACATTCCCAGACCCTTTGGAAAAGATTTTCTAGATATGGATTTCATGGATGAAAATTCTGATTGGTGACTACAATGAAATTCTCTGAGATGTCTTTAGCTTAGTTTCAAAAATTAAGATGCAATAAGATTTGTAATGTTTAGGCTGCATAAAAATGTCAATAACAAAACCAATAGCAAATGGCCAAAAAATTGACAAATTGAGAGTAACATTTGCAACATATGTGACGAATTTAATGTTCCTAATAATGGGGTATCACATGGATAAGAAAAAGAGCAACAGCAGAGATAATTGTGGAACAAGAGGTACATACAGGAAAAAATACGCATGACCAACAAGCTAATGGAAAATGCTGATGCTACATGTTCAGAATGGAACACAAGATTTCTCCTGAGTGTGGGGCTGGTCCAGAGTTCTCTAGAGCTGAACACCTTGTAGTCATCCCTGTCTCCAATGAGCAGTTTTTCACAATCCTGTACATACAGGGTCCCAAATACATTCTCTTCCGTTTAGCTTTGTTGACACCACATTGGTCCAGGGCACCATTCTTCTAGGACATGCATTAGCCTCTGGCTCAGGCCCCCTGACTCCCCCAAATATTTTCCATCCTGAATCCAGAGTGATTGTTTTCATAACACAAATGTATGTGATGCTCTTGCTTAAAATGGCCCAATGACTTCCCATTGCTCTCTGGATAAAGAACAAAATCATTTAACAGGCATTACCAATGGAATATATGAATGTATAAGGTTTTCTCAAACACAAACTTAATATAAACTACAAGGCATTGTGTGGCTTTGCCGTTCTATCCAGCTCCATCATGACACTGCTGCACACCATCCATATCGCATCCTTCCTATCCTACAACACCTGCAGTGCCTTTGCAGTCAAGATTTGCTCTACCTGGAATTCCCTTTGCTCTGACTCTAGCCTTCATCACTTCTCCCTTGATCAGGCAATTTCTGCATCACTCAGTCGCTATTCTTCCAGGGAGGCTTTCCATGACTTCTTAAGATCCAAATAAATTATCGTGTCAATTTTTTATTTATACTCATTGTTCTGATTCACCATCATAGCATGTATCGCAGTGGTAAATTTATTTATTTGTGGTCTTCTGATTCACCAAAGTGTAAACTCCATGAGACAAGGACTAATGCTATTTTTATTTGCCATTGTGCAAGAAATATTTTTGGATAAATAAATAAATAATGAGTCAACATCACTAGAATCAAAGAAAGACAGATTTTAACAAAACCTTTTCTCTTTCAGATTGTCAGAGATTAACAAAATTGAAAACAATTTCTTTCTGAAAGGCAACTTGTAACTTCCACACGTATACACACACAATTCCATTCTGGGAATATTGCCAAAGTAGATCATGAGAGAAACATCTAAAGATATACAGTGTCTATTAACAAATTGTGGTACCTCCACACGACACAATGCTACCCAATGTATGTAATGCCAATCTCTGTTCATAATATGTTTCAAGTGAGAAAGCCTTGTAGATATAGAAATGTATAATAGGGTGGCATTTTGTGTGTTCCTCTCTTTATGGTGGATAGAAGAATTCTGGAAGGAGAGTAATACAACATTAATGGTAATCATTTCTGGATGGTGACATTATTGATTATTTTTCATCATGATTATCTGTAATATAATGTGCATATTTTGCATTCTTAATCAGAAACATACATTTTTTCAATATAAAATATTTTTAAGTGTAACTATTTTTAAGTCTACATTAAATATTTTCTGTTCCACATAACTCTGTAGAACCATATTTGGAAAGAAACTCAAAGGCAACCTGCCTCCCATCACAGAATAAAGTACTCTTATCCCTGCCAACTGGGAACACAATTTTTACCCAACTAGTAACACCGTTTTTATGTCTTTTGTAAAGGAATTATACTTTTATGTTACAAAAATCTGTCTCTACCTAATAAGAAGAACTTTCTTGTTATTTATCACATTATTAATGCCTAGTATAATGTCTGGAACATAACAGGAACTTAAATACTTAGTGAATTATGAATTACTTAAAATAATTGTAGTTTTCCCAAATAGAGTTACTCTATGATTCAATGAACCCCCCCAACTCCCTAAATTGTCTTTATTAATCAAGGTTTCCAGATCAAAACACATTCAATTCTTACTACTCATGTCTTTAATAAATTCCCCTCTTAGAAGAGCCACAGTATCCCAGATATGGACTGATTAGTACAGAGAAGGGGTGGACTATAATACTATTTTTAAAATTTAATAATTCCTAAACTTGTACTGCCTTTTAAAATAAGCTGCCCATAGTAAGTAGAGTAAACTTAAACTTATTCAGAAATCTTTATCCATAGAAACTATCCACAAGTAAAACTCCTTCCATTATGAGCTGATTAAAATTTTTAATCAGCAATGTAGAGGTAAAATGTGCATGCAATAAAATTCACCAATTTAATTGAACACTAAGCTTTGGTAAATACATAAGACACTCCTCAATTTATGATGAGTCACATCTGGATAAACCCATATGTTGAAAATGCATTTTCTACATTTATCCCACCAAACATAGGCCTAGAAACACAGCACAATGGAGAGGGTCAGGTTCCTCTCCTGACTGGGGTCTGACTGGGGGCTGCAGCTGACTGCTGCTGCCCAGCACGAAAAGAGATGATCACTCATACCATATGTTGTCTGCTCAGAAAAAAAATCAAAATTTAGATTTTCAAGTGTGTTTTTTACTAGTCTACTCCCATTGTTCTTGCACCATAGTAAAGTCAAAAAATTATAAATCAAACCATTGTAAATCCGGTACTGTATAGCTTAGAGCCATGACCACATCTGGTTCAGAACAGATCCATATCACTGAGAAAGATTCCTCATCCCCATAAGCAGTGGATCCCCTCTACCTACCATTCGTTTTTGTTTCAGCATCATTTGTTCAAATATAATTCTCCCTCTCCCTTGCGTTACATTGCTCCTTTGTAAAACACCAGTTGAGCTTTAAGTGGTGGTCTACATGACAGCTGATTTTATGTATCAAGTTGTCTGGCTGAGGAATGGCCAGCAGCTAGTAAAACATTATTTCTGAGTGTGGCAGGGGGCTTTCGCTGAAAGAAATTAGCATTGAAATAGTACCTTGAATAAATAAGATCCATCTTTGACAGCATAGGTGGCTTAGTCAATTGTTTCCTTGCTGGGACAAATACCCTACATGCAACTTAGAGGAGAGGTTTATTCTGACTCACATTTCAGTCTATAGTCAGCTGACTCCAAGGCTGAGGGGCACATTGGAGGAAAAGCTGCTTACATCATGGTGTCTAGGAAGAAGAGAGTCAGGGGAGGAGCTGGAAAGGGAGAAACACTGTGCCAGGTCACACCCACCGTGCCCTCCTCTTCCAATCAGACCTCACTTCCTAACAGCACGTCAGCCATAACATCCACATAATTCAGTCACGTCTCAAACCCATGAGGCTTTAGGGGACATTTTAGATCTAAACCATAGCAGGTTAGAATCCTCCAGCCTGCCAAGAGCCGAACAGAACCCTCAGAACATCTCAGAGACGTGAATTCTCTCTTGTTCTTTATCTTTCTTCTATCAACACCGGAGCACCTCGTTCTTGGAACTTTGTTCTCCAGGACTTACATCTGCATCCTCCACAACCACAGCAGTCTCAGGACTTGGCCTCGGTGTGAAGGTGACACCTCAGCCCTCCTGGTTCTCAGGCCTCCAGATCCTAACTGAATTATGCTGTGAGTTTTCCTGGTTGTCAGATAGCTGACCATGACTCTGTGGATTTAAAATCATGTGAATCTATTCGTATAATGTATGTGTGTGTGTGTGTGTGTGTGTGTGTGTGTGTGTGTGTGTGTGTGTGTGCGCGCAGAGTCTATTTTCAGACTCTTTGCTATATTTTATGGATCACTCTGGTCATACTTATGCTAGTACAGCACTGGGATGACCACTGTAGCTATCTCATACTTCTGGAGCTCAGGTAGGTCGTGTAAGTCCTTTCAATAGTTGTTTTGGCTATTTTAAGCCCTTTACATTTCCACATAAATTTTAGAATCATTTTTAAATTTCAGTTAAAACATTTCCTCAGGATTTTGGGGGGAGGGTTGTGTTGAATTTATAGATACATTTGTAGAAAACTAATACAGTCATAATGTTGAGTCTTCTGATCCATGAAAATGGTATATTTCCCCATTCATGTTGGCCTCCTTTAATTTCTCTCAGCAATGTTTAGTGATTTTCAGTGTGCAAGGCTTGTAGATAGCTTATTAAATACACCCATAAGTATTTCGTTGTTTTTTTTTTTTTTTTGGTACCAGGGATTGAACTCAGGTCCTTGCGCTTGGTGCAGCAGGCAGCAAAACCACTGAACTAAATCCCTGGCCCAGTATTTCATATTTTTGAAGCTATTATAAATTGTATTTTAAACTTTTAATTCCAATTGCATATTGCTTGTTTGTAAAAATATAATCTATTTTTGTATGTTAATCTTCTATCCTACAAAACTGTACCATTCATTTGTTAACTAGTGTTTTTTTGGGTAGATTTCTTACAGTTTTCTAAATAGATGTTCATGTCATCAATAGTTAAAGATTTCAATTTACTCCTTTTTTACTACTATATATCATTATATTTTATCTATCTATCTATCTATCTATCTATCTATCTATCTATCTGGGTTAGTTACTTTTCTCTCATTGCTGAGACAAAATACCTGACACCCAAAGTTGAAGGGGAAGAGTTTATTTAGCTCACAGTTTGTATAGGTTTCAGTCCATAATTGGCTGGCTTAGAGGCAGGGTGACACGTGGCAGAGGGGTGTCACAGAGGAGAAACAATCCATGGCAACCACACGGTAGCAAAAGCAACAAGGAAACCTTAACAGTGTCTTTCTGCCCATTTTATCTTATCCAGACTACCAGAATTAGGGTGGTGCCAAACCAATCAGTGTACTGGTTTAGTAATCACATGCCCTTAATCCCAGCATCACACACTCTTGATTCAGCCGCCTCTGAAAAAGCCACCTATGACCACATGAGGCTTTGGGGGGAGATCTAGACCCAAACCATAATACTGTCTATCTATCTATCTTACTTATTTATCTATCTACTTGAGTTGAACTAGTTGAGACTCCTTCAATGTAATGTTGAATATGAACTGCAATCCTTGACTTTCTCCTCATTTAAAAATAAGTGTTTAATATTTCAACATTCAGTCACCCAGTTTCAGACAAGTTGTTCTAACAGCATGAAGAAATTAACACACACACACACACACACACACACACACACACACACTTTTTTGTTTTTGTTTTAGAAAGGGAATCACTCATACTTTCATGCCTTTGGATAGAAATAATATTCCAATCCTGTGAGAGTTTCTACCTCTGTTTCTTATTTTTCCTCTCATCAACTTCTCTCTTTCCTACATCACTAGAAAAGCCATTTTGCCTGATGCCCCCAAAGGGTGATGAGTTTATCTCCATTTTGGCACTCAAAGTCCCATGAACTTTTCAGTTCCAGACAATGGGACGGTTGGTCACTGTACCTGAAAAGCCCTTCCTTGCTACATACCAGACAGCTCCTTCCAAGTAGAAACTCTTTCTAGAAGTGCTGTGTGTACTGAATGATAGAGATGAATTGCTTCAGGAAAGTTCCCATTATCTCACTAGAAGAATCACAGGAAGTTCTTGGGAAATTTCTACCCTGGCCTACTGATGAAAACCATATGGCATGCTTTCCCCAGAGCACTTCCTATTGTCCCAGCATACTGTTAAAAAATAAATCTTATCATGTCATCCACTGTCTTAGTTACTTTTGTCACTGGGACACAATACCCCATACCTGCAGTTTACAGGAAGAGAGGTTTATTTTGGCTCATGTTTCAGTCCATGGTCAGCTGGTTCCCAAGAAGAAACAGCCTGGCAGAAGGGCGTGGCAGAAAAAAACCAGCTCACATCATGGCAGCCAGGAACCAGAGAGAGAAGCAAGGAGTGGGAAGGAAAAAGCATCCTTCTAGGCCACGCCCCCAGTGACCCGCCTCTTCTGATCTGACTCCACCGTCTATCAGCAAGTCAGTTATAGCTCCCCCATGATCTAATAATTGCCTTCCAAAAGCCCCACCTATGAGAGCATGAGGCTCAGGGAGGCATCTAAATATAAACCATAACACCCACCACTACAGAAACATTCTGCAGACAGGAAGCTTGAAGAGCCATAATTTTAAATAAGAACCCAGGTGATTCTCATTGTTAGCTAAGTGTTGGGTTAGCACAGCATCTACTATATTAATGTTTGACTTCCCAGGGCAGAGCAATGATTTGTCCCAAAGTAGTGGACAGTCACTTGCCTAAACAGGAACACCATGAATATGCTGAGACTGTAGGATTTAGTTAGGCTTAAATGCATTGTCTGCAGTAGAATTTCTTCTATTACAGCTGGATTTATTGTTGATTAGGCAAATCAGCAGAGCTCATATATGTCTTCACATTCTGTTCCTTTCTAATAATCCCTTTCATTTCAAAATACAAAGTGAATGCAGTCAGAACTATTTACTTCTGTGTTATCAACTCTGCCATAAGTGTTATTCCTTAAATAATTCACTATCCATTCTGTTTCATTCTGAAGATGGTACTGACTTCGAATGGAGCCATAACCAGCACCACGTCAGCTATAGGACATCTTTAGCCCAGGAAACAAATTATTCTGTTATGTGTGACCAGTTCACTTTATAATTTGTGCCTGAATCATGAATAATAATGTCTTTGAGAAGCATTTAAAAAATGAATTAAGCATATACAGGGATTTTAAATCATTTTTATCTGTTATATATTTGTGAGCTGTTTGCCAGTCACACAATTAGTGGCCAGAACAGATGGCACACACTAAGCATTAGGTAATAAAATCATAAAACACCCCACCCCCCAAAGGCAAATTATTATACATGGGAGACTTTTTTCATTTATCAAAGGATTTTTTTTAACTCACTGGCATACACTGTAAGAAATGATGACATTAGATAAAAAGATATTTCCACATCAAGAAGTTCAAAAGATTAAGATGCTACTGAAATGTAAGTTAGACACATTCATAAATGTTTCAGGAAACATTATAGTAGAATTATTACTATAATTTGAGAACGGCAGGCTCTGCAACAAAGTGGGATTCATTACAATGCTAAAATTATTTTTCAAACTTCTGACATTTAGATAGAATTTTCAGGTCAAGTCAAATAATTGTGGAATTTAAAAATTGCTTGAAGGAATGCTTGGAATTTTAGGCTAATTTTAATTTTAGAGGACTAGTTTCCTCTATTAAAATGTTATATTTTATAACTTTTTCCCAAGCTGTCAAGGTGTGTACACATGATAAAACACCTGTAAGAAGCTGAGGCAAGATGAATTTATGGTAAATTCTTTTTTTTAAATTCTTAGTTATTTTAATTTTACAAATACAGTTGCTTAAAAAAAACTTGAAAAATGTCAGTATAGTTTTGATGATTGATCTGGAAAGCTTTTGAAGTAATATTACACCCAAAGAAAAATTTTATTAAAGTATCAATTACTAATTATTTTTTAAAAATACATGGGAAAAGACAAACATACCAAGGAAACATACAAAGGGAACAACAAATTTTTAAGCTCTATACTTTGGAAATATAAAACAATGATCAATATTCCTAACAGTTTATTGACACAAATTAAATTTTAAGTTGGTCTACAACTCTTTTCACTGAATTTTGTTTATAAATGTTACTGAGTTTTTATGTCTCATTCTATATTAGAACTTTGTTTTTTGCATGTGTTTACTTCTCCAAGCAATATGTACTAATTTCTACAGTTAATATTAACAACTATAGACCCTTTTGGCCCACCATACCACCGCCCCCAGTGTAGAGGAGGAGAGCCCCTCCCAGCACTGAGGAGGTGAGCTGCATGGGTGACAGCAGCATCTGCCCCCTTGAAATGAGAAGACAGGTAAACAAGTCTCAAAACCAGACTTCCAGATCACCGGAAGCAACCTCAAAGGGAAATGAGATGGAATAATATGATATTCAACAATCTGGACTCCCTGAACTGGCAACAAAAGAGGATCTGGAAAAAATTAAATCAGAAATAATTTCACAGATAACAGCAGAGATTGTGCCCATAGTGCAAGACATGATTAATAAATCTAGAGAGGACACAGATAAAAAAATAGAGGAGCTGAGGAACATGATGGAATCCCAACATAGGAAACAAATGGAATCCATAAAATAAATGCAAGTAGATCTCCAGGAGATTAAAACTGCATTGAAAGTGTACACAGCAGAATGAGCCAATATGGGGACAGAATTTCAGATACAGAAGATAAGATTGCAATTAGTGAACAGGAAAAGAAAAATTGCTTTAAAATAGTAAGGGACCATGAGAAATCAATTGAGCAGCTGCTAAATGATGCAAAGAAGAATGACATAAGAATGATCAGAGTCAATGAAGAAATAGGAGAGAGTGCAGATGACATAAAAAACTGTTCACAGAAGTCATGGCAGAAAACTTCCCAGCAGGGGAAAAGAACTTGACATACAGATAAGTGAGGCACATAGGACTCCAACTAGCCATGATCAAAAAAATCTACACATAGGCATACAATAGTCATGATCCCAGAAACCCAACTGAAGAACAAAATCCTATAAGCAGTTAAAGAAAAGAAACAAATCACGTACAAAGGAAGCCCATCAGAATCACAGCAGACTTCTCAAC